TTAGACTACTTAAAATAACTTCTAATTTAAGTGAACTTAAAACAATCTTCACATAAACCCATTATAATAAATGTCATATTTAGTTACCTGTGCCCTTCAGCAAGTAGGAAATATACAGAAATGTAATAAAGTTATCAAACACTAAATTATAAATTAAATAGATGAATCCTTAAAGCTACAAAAGTTATTGATTTCCTTTTTTTTCTTTTGATCTTTGTTTAATAGACATCACAGCAGCTGGTTATTAGGTTTTTCGGCTGCTAATTCTTTTAAGAGCTTCCGCTGCTGAATGTGAAACTCATCTGATCTGACGCATCTCTCTTTACCTATTCTGACCCACTTCAGGTCTTAAAGTCTCTACTAATTGAATTGAGTTAAACTGAAAAAAAACTAATCGCCTGCATTAGCGCGCTAATATTGACAGCATCCGTTTATAATCACTAAAAAGCTGTCACTCATCTTAGTTCATCGCGATCTAACAAAGACACGTTTTAATCAATGTTCTCTACGCTGCACAATGAATCTCTTATTTACATCGCGTCTACATTTTTTTTATAATGAGATGATTCGTGCTGAACACAATACCTGAACAAAAACTCTGGTGATTTGAGCGGTGAGTGGATTCTACTGTAACTTAAACGCCTCTGATTCAAGAAATCAACAGATATGTCTGTGATTGGCTACATTGCTCAACGCTGCAAACAAATCAATCTCCAGAGCGCAAACCGTAACGCACTGGATAGTTAGCCAAATCTGCAATGAAATGCCATTAATGCAGCTTTAACTGAGGGTGCTATTGATTTCGTTTGAGGGTGCTTAGCACCCTCTAGCACCCCCGTAGAACCGGGCCTGGACTGACCGCTATCATCCCGCTTTCTTAGGCCGTACGTCGAGCTGGTGAACATCTTGCTCAGCTGTGGAGAGGAGGTGAAGGAAGCCATTACGCGGAGCGTGCGTCTGCAGTGCGAGCAGAACTGGGGCGCTCTGTGCGACAGCCTGAGCATCTGTACATCCATCACCGCCGCTCCAGCATCAGGCGGCCTCGAGCGACGCCCGCCGCTTTCCTCCCAGTCAGACGCCGAGCACCACAAGAGCGCTCGAACAGGAGACAAGGACAAACCCGGCAAGGTCGGCTTCAGTTCCCACACGAGAAGTCGGAGCCAAGGCCCACGGCGCGCCAGTTTAGAGGCCGGCCCCGCCGAGCAGGAACACTCAAAGATCAGCGATATTCGGAGGTGAAATCGCAGGATCACCTAAACTGACCATGACACCCCAATCCCCCACTTCACAGACTCAGCAGACCTCTTAATTCAACCCATCCATCCTCACGTCTCCACGGTCATTCCGGTACATTTTGCAGGGTAAATGTGGTGCAACTTTTTTGATACTCCAGATTATAGGACAGATTGTTAATTTTGTAGAATTGCTTTTATTTTAGTTCTAATACAGCATCTCTATTTTGCAAATCATATCAATCACCTTGTTTATTTATTTTATGCTTCATGCAACGTTTGAATATAAAACATGTACATATAAATCTATGTATATCTATATTTATATAAACACATCTAAATATAACCTCCATATTCAGTAACGATATACTATATGTAATATAGTGCTTGCTGTTGTATTAGTTACATTATTGCACCAATTATGCATCTGACTGTAGATATGTAAGATATGTTTGCTTGTTTCAGAAATGTGTGTGTAATTGTTATTTGAAATACTTGATTAAATACAAGCTGTACAGGATTGAAGTCCAGGTCTAGCACAAACAGTACGACGCTCTGTGCTTCTTAGAAGGAAAGCGAAGTCAAAACAACGTCCAGTAACAAGCTTATTGTGCCTTGAGAATATTACATAGAGGCTTTACCCCAAAATGAACTGTGGAACCCGAGCAGATGTATGATAGTAAAAACTTCTAGCTGCCTCACGTCTCAGTATGATAAAGCGCCCTGATAGTATCGCTTAAGTCTAATGTGTATGCTGCATTTCTGGGCTTTGCCCAAACAGATTAGTTGAACATAGGAACAACTTTAGCGCACAGTGTCTCATGGAAAGCAGGCCTGCCTGTGCTCTGGCCAAGTCCACAGTCAGCCGCTGGTGTTTCCAAGTAAAAAATAGCAGTTTTCTCCCAGAGCCACTGAGAAGAGCCAGAAGCTGGAATTGCAGTCGGCTGGCCTTAGACCCAAGAACTGGGTTAAGTCTACATAAGAAGCTCAGGGTATTACTGACAATAATATTGAAATGGGTGAATTATTGTTTACTATAGCTGCGAAAAGAATTGTTTTGGGTCCTTGCCACGTGATTGGTTAATAAAATGTTCGGAGCTGATTGTTGGTTTAAGAATAAGGAACGGCCTGTACAGTTCTGCTATTCATCAGCCTAAAGACAACAGTAGTTACTTTGACCAATCATCTTCTTAATTCACTCAGGTATTCCAATGAACATGTGGGCAAAAATGTGATCAACTTTGGGTTTAAACCTGGAAAACATTTTTTGATTGTTACAAGAAATGAAAAAAATCTGTGTACAACTATTACATTGAATAATAGATTCCATATCGGTACAGATAGCATGTGTTCCAATTGTTTTAGGAAAAATAAATACGAAAGCTCATTTCTTACTCAGATGTGTCTTTCTGGATTTTCTTTTTTCACACACAGCATTTTAGCACAACAAAAGTGAGTATTTAGAAATGTATTTATAATATATTTATTATATAATATTTTATTTATTATATTATAATAACTTTTTTTATTGTGATCGTTGTTAATAATTTTTTGGCTTTGGCTTTAAATCAGCTAATTGTGGCTAAATATGCCCATACGTCTATATAGACTGTGTGTGTGTGTGTGCGCAAATTTTATTATAAATTATATGATAGTTGATATATTTAATATAATTTAATATATTAGAATTAAATATTCAGTATATTGTATATAAAACGTTTACACAAAAACACACACATATTATTGTTCAATAAATAATAGTTTATATAAATAATAGTATTATTTAATAATAATATTTGGTATTGAGAAACGGCCTGGGCTGCCTTTATGATCAATTTTGGCTTACAATGCTTTTGGGAAACGCAGCCCTGTTTGTAGTGATGGTCATTTTTCTTACATTGTTCCGCCATTAGATGGCGACTTTTTTAATGAGTGAGTCAGCGGCACTTTTATTTTGAAAAGGACTATAACTAATAAGAAGTTATTTTAACTTTTCGACATCTTAAAGACTCAATCAGCAAATTCATTGAGCAGCGTTTTCATCGAAAATCTCCCTCAATGGATGAAAGGCTATTACGACAAAGATATCGCTTTCCTCAGCGGACATTCAAACTGTTTTATTGTGAATATATTGAGCTGAAGAATGAATGCTGTATCAAATGCAGGTAATCACACGCACACCTCTGATAATTCTCTGCTCTACATAATACAATAAGATTTCAATGAAGCAACAAATTCTAAAATTACTAATTCTAAAAAGTTCTAAATTGACGTTTTCTAATGTTTTCGGCTTCGAACTGTTAACTTGAGATTTGTATCCGTGGTGGAAGGATTCATTCCGCACACGGAATGTTTTGTGGTTTCTTATTTATTTACACACTTGTGCCATCGAACTGTTGTATAAACTTAATATCACATATGCCACACAATCCCTATCCCAAAAAACACAAAATCATAGGACATAATGTCTACCTGTTGACCTAACCTCTGTGGTCAATTGAAGAACATCACTGGACCCTTGCTGGAGCTCCTGCAGTTTGCTTGGGTCTACACTTCATCCTGCAACATCTGGACAAACCAGGGACTTACAGTCAAACCAAAAATTATTCAGACACCTTCAACATTTCTCACATTATCACAGTTTCTTTGCTATAGTTTAGAAAATGGTAATAAAATATGACAAGAACTCGAGTTAAACTGTCAGAAAAAAATCATCTTTAAAATGTCAGATAACTTTGATAGGAAGGGAAGTAATGGATTAAAATCAACCAAAAAATTTCAACTGTTAGATTTAATTACACAATCAGATAATACCAGTTTAAGTCAACCAATTACCAATTAGCAATGCTTACTTTTTGTTCAGTCTGTGGTGTAAAAAGGTCACATTAGCAATTAAAGAAAAAACACTTAAAGGGTTAGTTCACCCAAAAATGAAAATTAGCCCAGAAATGCACCCACAAAGCATCCAAGGTGTATATGACTTTCTTCTTTCAGACGAATACAATCGAAGTTATATTAAAAATGATCCTTGCTCTTCCAAGCTTTAGAATGGCAGTAGGTGGGTGTTTTTTTTTTTCAACAGTCCAAAAGTAGTCTAGTCAAATAAAGCGCATCCATCCATAATAAAACATGCCTCACACGGCTCTGGGGGGTGCATAAAGGCCTCCTGTAGCGACTCGATATGTTTTTGTAAGAAAAATATCCATATTTAAAATGTTATAAACACGTTTCTCTCATTTCCAGTAACTGTTGTAGGCGGAAGCCGTTCCAGGCGGATGACGTACTAATCTCACTTGCACTGTTTTTGTGTGAGTGAGATTAGTTTTTGTGCAAGTGAGATTAGTAGGCCTAAATGCATGTTGACATTCTAGAACTACAGTAACATCATGTTCACACAGCGCACACAACGCCTCTGCACTTACTCCCGATTTCTCAACATGCTGACACCAGAGTCAGTCAATAAATGGGAAAACAAAGTAACTGGAGTTACTTATTTGACATTTTTTTTGTAAATGAAAAAAGTAATGCGTTACTTTACTAGTTACTTGAAAAAAGTAATCTGACTACATAACTCACGTTACTCGTAATGCGTTACCCCCAACACTGCTCAAAACAGTGGAGATGATAGTGGACTTCAGGAGGAACACCTCAGCGTTACCCAGTGAGGGTGATGAGTCCACATAGACATTAATCATAGTAAAACTCAATTCAAACAGGCCTGAATGTCTAAGAATCTGGATTCTGTAAGAGAAAAAGTTAGTCAGGTCCATGTCGTCTGGAGCCAGCGGCGATGATGTGAAGAGCGTTCCTCTTGACTGGTGCATAAAGCTGTCAGGGCGTGTGGCACAGGGTTGGCGCCAGACTGAGCTGCAGCGGGCACCTCCACCAGCCTCCTGCAGAAACACTCAGCTCATCGCAGCAGTGGGAAAAACGCTCTTTCTCTCTCGTCAGAGTGGAATGAGACGACCGCGCCGTAAACAAGCTCCCCTGCGCTCTAGCTGGCTCGGCCTCTCCTGTCATAGGGCTGAAGATCTATAAACAGGTTTTATGAGGCTCTGGTGGCTGTGGTCGAGCAGCAGGCGAACTGGTTCTCAGGCTGGGCCGCTGCAGCTAATATATGACAGGCCAACGCCACAACAAAGTGGCCATTCTGAATGCTGATGAATTTACTGAGCTGGAGGTGTGGGTGATTAGGTTGTGCAGTCAAAAATACGTCGTCGGTCTCCCAAAGAGCCCCGTTTCCAGAGATGGCTGAACAGTGCCGTTTAAATCTCACGCATCAATACTGAAACCAGCATGCATGCAACATGCATAACAAGCTTGTTCCTTCAAAAATCAATCAATCAATAATAAAAACGATGCACCGTGCCTTAGTTGTGAATCAAGATGTGCTAGTCAGTTGCAGGTGGTATTGTAAAAAAAAAAAAAAGTATGTCATATGAAAGCCCATTTCCACTTCTTTTCTCTCAATTGTCAACATCTCACAATTCTGACTTTTCTTTCTTAGAATTGTGAAATATAATCTCGAAATTGTAAGAAAATAGTTTTTTTTTTGTCTGAATTGGATATTATATCTCGCAATTGACTTTTTTTCTTGCAATTCTGACTTAAAGGCACAATATGTCATTTTTGCCGCTAGAGGGCGCGTATTCAAAATAAACAAAGAATCAAAGGCGTAGTTTGATGATGCTGTGACTGGGTGTGGAATCATGGGAGTTGTGGTCTTCATCCCCACAGCCTACGCAATCTGGTCATTAGCAGGCGACACAATGACACTATAAACACGGTCCGTGTCAATAGTTAAAATTGCTTATTTCTCTGGATTTAAACATTCTTCGAAACATTTGGGATAATGTAAGTACACAAGTCAGCAAAATATATAACACTGTTCTAGTGGTTTTTGGATATTTTAATAAAAAATCTTATATATTGTGCCTTTAATGCGACTATGCAACACGTATTTGTCAGAATTGCGAGTTTTTCGTGCAATTCTGACTTTGTAACTTGCAATTTCAAGTTTCTGTCACTCAATCCTGAGAGGAAAAGTCAGAATTGTGAGATAAGTCACAATTACCTTGTTTTATTTTTTTTTTATCTAAGTATACTTAATGTGTTTTATAATGTCGTCAGCCGTTTGGAGTACACTGGCACAGAGATGACTTAAAGCTACAGCTACATGACATACACGATTATAAAACTGCAATGATGCAGAGATTTATTAATAGACTCAGGTTAGACGCCATATTGTATTTAACGCAGATGAAAACGAGGCTGTTATGGATAGAATTCCAGTCTTTAGTGTGTAAAGGTCCTAAATGCCTTAATTTTCACAACTCAACTTTCAGAAATGTTTTATTGAGTATTTGTCTACTGATTTTTTTTTTCAGAAATAAGTTTTTTTTTAGCTGAACAATTGGTATGTTGTTAGTACAATCCAGTGAACACACTGTAGCCTGCTTGTTCTGTCTAGTTAAATACACACTACACACATACTGGTAAAAAATGTATAGCCTGAATGCACTGTAAGTCGCTTTGGATAAAAGCGTCTGCTAAATGCATAAATTATTATTAAATTATCATTAAATTATTAAATATGGTACTGTAAGGTCTATAGATTATCAGACACAGTATTTGCACACCTAAACAAACCTGCTCATCCATAGCAACAATTGTAGAGACTGAGCAAAGGTTTTATGTGCTCTTAGACGGCCACTACTCTCGATGTAAAGCACTGCGTGACTGCCCTCTAGCGGTCATTTATATACATTGCCTATGGATATCAACAGCTTTGGTCAAGATCTGTAGGTCAACTTTGAGTAATGCAATGTGAGGAAAATAGGATACTTTATAGGGTTGTCATTTGTTCTTTTTGTTTCATATTTGTTAATGAGTAAGCCTAAACTTAATTTTAAAAAATTCAATTTGCATTTAAAAAATTGCTTAAATGTGTTTGTATTTTTTTAATGCATCAAACAACAGGTGTCTGAACAGACAGAACGGATAGAACCTCTACAGGAATAAAATTGCATCAAATCTGCATGTAAAGTTTCACAAACAAAATTAAATAAGAATAAGTAATAAAACACAAATAAATATAAAATGAACAAATATAACATTGTATAATAAAATATATAGAGGAAATCCTTATGCATCAGTGGTATTACAAATATATATATATATATGTGTGTGTGTGTGTGTATGTGTGTGTGTGTGTGTGTGTGTGTCTGTGTGTACTGGTTTATAATATATATATATATATATGTGTATGTATGTGTGTGTGTGTGTGTGTGTGTGTATATATATATATATATCATATTTTAAGAATATGAATACGAATTAGAGAATTTTTTACAATGAATAAACATTTTCTGAACAAAATTAAAAATTAACAGTGTAATTCACTGAATTATTAGTTTTCTTTTTATAGATTTACTAAATTTTGGATTAAATTAAATTCAATTTAAATTTAATTAAATTGGATTTAAATTTTGGATTTCATTTTTCCTGGAAGAATTCAGATGCGTACCTATACTATTCCAAAAGTTTTTATATGTGTTTGTACTTTAATGAAGTCACACATAGCCACACATTCAGGTAGCCTTTACAATAATCTTAAAAGTAGCAAAAGTAGCATTGTGTAAAAACACGATTTTATTCCATCATGAAGAAGGCAGCCTAAAATATCAAATTTGAGTTAGGAAACAGCTTAACAGCAATATTCTTTGCTTCTTTTTTGTTATTCTGACAAAATATATGTAGCCATTCACTTTCACTGAATCTTGCAAAACTCTATTTAGTCTATAATAGAAGTGAGTTGTAATGAAAACTGTTTGTTTACCTACATTCTTCAAAATAGCTTTATTTGTGTTCTGCAGAATAAAGAAAGTCATACAGGTTTGGAACAACCCGAGGGCGAGTAAATGATGATGACAGCATTTTAATTTTTTAGGTGAACTATCACTTTAAGCATCGGATATTCAGCTTCTCTCAGTTTAAAACTATAGTATACATATTTCTGCCAATATAACTGCCAGACAGACATGTGTTTGTTTTTGTGAAGAGGTTATTACTTATGTCTACTCTGTTGACTGTAATACATGAATGAATGAAACAGAGACAGCAATATCGCTGCTATGTTAAAATCCGCCACCAGGAGGCAGATTCGGCAAAACTTCAGGACAGAAAGGAGTCTAGATCAGCAAATGTGCTACAATGTAGTTTAATTTCACAGGCAACATAATAAGTGTTATACATTAGCTATATTGTAAAATAAAATTATTTTTAAAAAAAAGATTATTAAAAATGAAGTGCTATGGAAAAAGTGTGGAGCTTCTGTCTTCTGAACAAGGAATGTTTTTTTGGAAAACAGTCACTTATAGAGAGACTATAAACTCCACATCCAGTGGCATTCATGAACTCAGCTGCCGGATGGTCTGTGAAATCATACGGGAGCAACCAGCTGCAAAAGCCCTCTTTAATTATGATTAATATAGTGACAAAGTCTTTTTGAAATATGAGCATATGAACATGTTTCAGTGTGAGCGAGTAGTCAAAACTATTCTGAGTTATCCAAAGGAGAGCAGGTCATCTGACTCCCATCGGGAGCAATCATGTTCCTGTCTGCCCGACTAATCCACTGCCAAAGCTGTGAACATGAGTTCATAAAGAAAGCTGTTATTCCCCGAGACATGCAAGACAAATGATGTGATGACAAAACGCACAGCTCTGAATCGCCGTAATGATTTTCTTCTTGTTTTTCGTGCAATATTACAGATTATCCACATCTGATCTTACAGTGTTTTGTTTTGTTTTGCAACTTCAACCTCGTAGTTTTTATTTTAATTTCCTTCAATACTGGCATGAATTAATAATGTGCATTAACTTTTAGGGATGAACTACACAAATGCATTATATTTATGCTTTTGAAAATACTTTTATAGTTTAATTTAGGCTAGTTAAACATTTAAATCATTGTAATAATAAATAATGACTAGCCTATAACTACAAAAACTACATATGAAAAGACATTTTAGCTTCTCTTTCTTATAGCTACTTTAAAGCCGTGTTTATAATAATTTAACCGACGCATGATCAATTATGTCGTCAAAATTGCTGGATAAACCCACGAATAAACACATTACAAAAAAATTTAAAAGCTGACCTTGGTTTTGATAAAAGCACTTAAAATCTAGAAAGCAAAGCAAGAAAGTAGCCTATTTAGAAAAGCGGATTCTTGATACAAAATAAAGATAAACACAATTCCTTAATTGGTTATAAAAGTATATAGGCCTATCTAATTGCACACATAATCCAATGTTTAATGTTACACGTTGAAATGGAATTTTACATAATTTTTTTTTTTTTTTAAATAAACATCGCAAGAAAACAAAAGAAACCATTTGTGAATATTTAATTCTACAATAAGTCTTGACATTTAGCACAGGTCATATTTAGTTGAAGCAAGTCTAAACACAGCTGCCTTAAATTAAGTGTTAAAAACGTGTTAGATTAAATATAAATCCATTAAAAATCCCCACGCATGCAGCCAGGCCTCGTGCATGAGCTTCCTTCAGGAGGTGTTAAATGTGCAAGTGATTGGCAGGGATGAAGAGCTCTGTGGTTTCATCACTGCACAGACTCATTTAGATAACACCCATCTCACCCCTCTGCCCCATCACTTCCTAAACAGGTCGGCCTACAGGAAGTTTTCAAGAACGTTATCCAACTCTTTATCTGCTCCAAATGCGCTGTTGAAAGACAAACCTGCAGATGCAGTTGCTTTGCGGGAGTTTGTGCCTCTTCTTCTCTCGACCATGACTAGTCTGTCATAATATTTATTTCAGAAATGCATCAAACAAGACGAATTATTCGACTCTGCTCCAAGCAAGCTCTGTCTCAGAAAACCGTAGTAAACTCTCAGAAACATTTGCACGTATTGATACGCAAAAATTGACTTTGGCGTGCATATGATACGCATGTGTTTGGCGTGCATATAATACGCAGTTTTCGCGTGCATATGATACGAAATTTGTTGGCGTGCATTTGATACGCAGTTTTCGCGTACATATGATACGCATCTACCCCACAACCCTAAACCTACCCATCGCGTAGCATATACACGCCAAATCAATTTTTGACGCAGTTTTCGCATGCATATGATACGAAATTTGTTGGCGTGCATATGATACGAAATTTGTTGGCGTGCATATGATACGAAATTTGTTGTCGTGCATTTGATACGCAGTTTTCGCGTACATATGATACGCATCTACCCCACAACCCTAAACCTACCCATCGCGTAGCATATACACGCCAAATCAATTTTTGCGTATCAATACCACGAGTTTTCGTTTTTATTTGGCGTACTATTTATACGCACTTTCATGAGATCGGGTTGGACTGTCACTGACTGCAGTGGCGCTCGGTGGAGGAGATGCTTCATAAATCACCGTGATATAAAGCAGTTTCCATAAGCTGCGGAGTCAGTTTACTTTATTTCACCAATTATTGCAGCGACGGATAAGGGAGTGTTGATTCGCTCATAGAGAAAAGTGCTCGCGCTCATTTATCAGAAACGCCTGTCTGAGACTCGGACGCACTGATTTTCTCCAAAACTATAAACATGAAGCTCTAGTGCAGACACGAGCACCATTTACTCTGCAGCATTAACCGTTAGAGATCAAATAAACGATAATACTGTCTGTCTCCTCTGCACAAGCACAAACGATGACTAATATCCAGAGGAACGGCACCACTGTCCAATGCTGCTGCCAAAAAAACTGGATTAGTGTCCATATTGCAGTGTAATTACAGTTTTAACATATAGGAACTAGCTACTTAATATGCAATTGCTTTAAGGAGCTTGTAGTTAGTTTATTATTATTATTGATGAGTCACTAAGCATGAATTATAGTAACTGATAGGCTGAGTAACGTGTAACAGATAGTGTAACATTGGTATTACCGAATGATCACAAATGTCCAAAACGAGCCTATTTGATTAAATAAAACTGAAATAAATACAGATTAATTAAAATGTGAAATAAACACTTTTAATTAGAACTAATTAACATAAATGAGAAAATAAAGAAACTAGCAGCCTTTCTGTAGGCCTATTGTCTAAAATTGTCTACTGTATTGTCTGTTGTCTAAATGCATTGTTTAAATAGAAAATGCAAGCAAAATATTTGATCTAAAATGAACGTATAGGCCTATATATACAGTATATATATATATATATATATGATTACATAATTTTTTAATTATAATTACATGAACATAATTACATGATAATTACAAATTTATTCAAAAATATAAAATAAAAGATGTCCAAACTGGTATCTGTAACTACCACACTATCAGTCACAGATGTCTAAATCTAATCTGTAGGCTACATGTGTTCTTGTATTATATCATTTCCGCCACACAGGTCTATATTTTATATGAATTGCCATGTGTTGCTCTTCTGCTGCATGCGGCTGTTCGGCGTGGGTGGGTTTCTGGTTTGTTGTCATCTGTTATCACGTCTTGATAACAAACCCAGTGGCACCAGAATCTTTCAGTGGTAGACAGTTGGGTTTGTCATTGCAGGTTTCAGGTTCCAGCAATGGCACTGTCTGATCCCTTGGAGAAAACTCTTCTCTGGCCCGTAGTTTCCTCTGGATTAAGCAATTAAGAGGAAAATAAACAAACCGAGTGCGCTCAGTGCCAGTTCAAGCCAAAAGGGACATTTGCAGCCTCGTAGGTAGCTAAGGGATGATTTAAATCCATCTCAGATAGCCTTTGATGCTGACATGGCATTAAGTAAATATATACTATCTACCTATTTAAATCCATCTCTCTCAGAGCTGACAGACTTGATAATAAAGCGTTACTTGAATTGCAGCATTGCAACTAATAAAAACAGGCAACACCGAGCGAACGTTAAAAAAATAACAAGATTAATATGGATAGCAGCAATGTTTGTTGGTGTTAGTAAAGTTGCTATAATTGGTGGATATTATATGCATGGACTTGTATGGAACTCTCACAAGTCATTTTAATATTATGCGTCATTTGGCCAATGGCAAGCTCTGAAATGTTGAGCCCCGCCCCCTGCCTCATTACAGCATGCAGTCACTCCTTACACCCCAAAAGTGTGTTATGAGGGCTCTATTAGAAACATAAGCGTGGGTTTATAGGCTACCTCTAAACACAAAAGTTTTACCCTATTCATTAAACGACTAGGCACCCCTGATAAATGCCAACCGGGTCGCCCAAGAGGACCATCATTATATTGACGATTTGTGTCCCATTAAATTCTATCAATGAAATAAATCATCCATTTTCAGACATCAGCTGCTCTCAGGAAGATCCAAGTGAAGATCTGAAGCTGGATGATGCGGATCGACCCAAGCAGAGGAAAAGGAGGAAGCCTCGTGTTCTGTTCTCTCAAGCGCAGGTGTACGAGCTGGAGCGACTCTTCAAACAGCAGAAATACCTCTCCGCACCTGAGAGAGATCATCTAGCCAGCGTGCTCAAACTCACCTCCACACAGGTCAAGATCTGGTTCCAGAACAGACGCTACAAGTGCAAGAGGCAGCGTCAGGACCAGACCCTGGAGATGGTGGGCATCGCTCCTCCGAGACGCATCTCGGTGCCGGTTTTGGTTCGGGATGGAAAGCCGTGCCTGGGCGACGCTTCCACATACAACACCTCTTACAATGTGGGGATCAATCATTTCACCTACAACAGCTACCCAGCCTTTAGTAATTTCCCGAGTCCGGGCAACACGAACTACTCATGCAGCTATCCGTCGAGCATGTCCTCCATCCAGCCCTCACAGTCCAACAGCAACTACATCAACTTTGGAGTTGGAGATCTAAATAACGCGCAGGCTCCGTTTCAGTCCAGCAGCGGGGTTCCCTCACTACACGGCATCAGAGCTTGGTGAAAAAAAAGAACTTTAATTGCATGTATGGACATTTATATTCAAAGAATATTTTCATAATTGATGATTGCTATTTGAATAGACAGAATGCGGGCCGGGATGGTTTTGCTCTGTCAGATGCAAGATGCATTCTTTCTTTATGCTTTAATAGCTATTTTTCCGTATAGCCGACGCATCGTTTTCTTTAAAAACATGTCTGAATAATTTGCTTGCACTTGAGTTAAATTATGAGAGATAAACCGCACGTGAAATAGGTAGATTATTTATCATTTTCACCAGATGTATTATGAGGGCATCAGAGCTTGGTCAAAAAAAAGAACTTTAAGTGCATGTATGGACATTTATATTCAAAGAATATTTTCATAATTGATGATTACTATTTGAATAGACAGAATGCGGGCCGGGATGGTTTTGCTTTGTCAGATGCAAGATGCATTCTTTCTTATGCTTTAATAGCTATTTTTCCGTATAGCCGACGCATCGTTTTCTTTAAAAACATGTCTGAATAATTTGTTTGCACTTGAGTTAAATTATGAGAGATAAACCGCACGTGAAATAGGTAGATTATTTATCATTTTCACCAGATGTATTATGAGGCTTTTATAAATCTCGAAAGAAGTTCCTATGTTTTATCTTTCTTTCTTTTTTTTCAAGGCCAGTCTCATTTTTATAAAAAATTAACAGACCATTAATATTAACTGTAACCAATAAAGGGCAACAATTAATGAACTATTATTAACTATTGTTAATATCCAGAAAGTACCGCACGAATACGGCTCGTATTAAGGTGTTGTTATTGATTTGCTTGTGTAGGTAGCTAAGTCTGATATGTAAACCTTTTAAAAGAAAATAATAAAGGCTTTTCAAGAATGTAGCCTATGCACTTATTATTTGGTTTGAGAATAACAATTAAAATATTAGCATAAACAGTACTAATAATTTATATTTGACGTATAGGATAATTAAAACTATATTCGTAAATTTGTATTTACAAATTACATTCCTAAAATTGATAAACACTTTATTATTATTGTTATAAAAGTTATCTTATTCCTGTTCCTTATTTGTAGGCCTTGACGACTTCATCTATATTTTCCATTAAAGTGTTTTGTTGTTGTTGTTGTTGTTTTACCCTTTTTTTACCTTAACTTTTGCTAAACACGATTTTGCAAGTTTAAACATTTTCGGGGTCACTGTTTTACCAAAGGTGAACCTGAGATATACCTACTTTTCTATGACTTATTCGTGTAAATCAAATAAAAAATATTAAAATTAAATATAATATTTAATAAAGACGTTTCAGCGAGGACTTGAACCGAGGTTAATTCTTGCGCTGTAAAACTGCAGAAATAACCCCAGATTGCAAAAAGGCCTAATTCAGCATTTATCATTTTTCTGTATCATGTGATTTGAGTAAAACGTGCAGCTGAGTTTAATGTTAAACTAAACTCTCTAATCGAGCATCCACCAGCAAAATGCTTTTGGTCGATCGCAACAGATGCTCAAACCTAGACCATTTACATTTTTTTTGTATGCTATTCTTGCAAAGGTTGATGTCACACTTGATTGACAACACAAAAGTGCTCTGCTTAGTGTGCAGAATGGCACAATTTGCTTGACATGGAGAGGTAAGGGTGCATGGCTGCGCATGCAAAGACTTGGATGGAGGAGGGAAGGAGATCCACATTTGCTGCCACTTAAAATGAGTAATAGATTGCCCTCGGGCATCTCTCTGGCCTCTCCACACATATCAGTACAATTCCCCCTCTCCACCGCATCTGCCTACAACTGAACCAGCATCTAGCTGAAATATATATTACAATAGCAAGCTTACTGTGGAAATGATTGTCGTTTCAAGTCAAATACGGGGCCACTGAGATGTACAGAGAAAGGTCACGCAGTTACAATAGTGGCCCACTCTTCAGAGGCGTTGAAAAGAACAAGTCAGATAACATGGACGCACATCTCTAAAAATAACAGACCTTGTCCTCCGGCCACAATGGAAGGAGAATGACAGAGAGAGAGAGAGAGAAAGAGACCAGGGATGGAATAATCAGCTTTTCCGGGTCTTATCGGAGGAAAGACAGGGTCGCATGCCTCTTTATCAGCGGAGCTCTGATTATGGCCATAGCTTTTCTGAGCTTTTCCCCCTGTGATACTCTGGTTCTGTCCCGCTGCTGCTTCATCACTGCGCGGGATGTGAGTTTAACTCACCTAAATTGCCTGTCATACTGTAGGTGTCCATGTGACAGCCTCCAGCGTATCCCCAGAGCTAAATCAACTCAGAGTACATATTGTCCCAATCTACAGAGTGTTAAAGTAACATTGAAGCAGAGTTACCACTGTTGAGGATTGTGTGGTAAATTTTCATGTCTAAAAGCCTGAGCAGAAGTTGTTAATCTTCAACATAGTTAACAGCGGGGTTTCTTTACTAATGCTCAATCATTACTTAATTAATTGCTTAAGTATCCCATTAACTTTAACTCGGCTTCAGTGTTATTTTTAACACTCTGGTAGATTGGGACAATATGTACTCTGAGCAGAGTTGATTTAACTCTGGGGATTTTGCTGTGTAGCATGGGTTCAAAACTGAGGGCTGACGGTTAAACCGTGAAGGCTTATCCTAAAAAGTACATTATGTGTAGTTTTCATAAAAATAAGCCTTAAATTAAATTAACTGTATGTAATACAAATGTGACCCTGGACCACAAAACCAGTCTTAATTGTCAATTTTTCGAAATTGAGATTTATGCATCATCTGAAAACTGAATAAATAAGCTTTCCATTGATGTATGGTTTGTTTTGATAGGACAGTATTTGGTCGAGATACAACTATTTGAAAATCTGGAATCTGAGGGTGCAAAAAAATCTAAATATTGAGAAAATCATCTTTAAAGTTGTCCAAATGAAGTTCTTAGCAATGCATATTACTAATCAAAAATTAAGTTTTAATATATTTACAGTAGGACATTTACAAAATATCTTCATGGAACATGATCTTTACTTAATATCCTAATGATTTTTGGCATAAAAGAAAAATCGATAATTTTGACCCATACAATGTATTGTTGGCTATTGCTACAAATATACCCCAGCGACTTAACACTGCTTTTGTGCTCCAGGGTCACATATGAGAAATTAAATTGATACAATGCAGATCAAAACACACAACTGTTCAAAGGTTTTGAGTTAGTAATTAATGCTTTTATTCAGCAAGGACACATTAAATTGATCAAAAGAGACAATAAAGACATTTATGTTTTCACTTTCTATTCATCAAAAAAAAAAAAAAAAAGATTTCCAGCACAACTCTTTTCAACGCTGATAATAATAATTAATGTTTCAGATCAGCATATTAGAATGATTTCTGAAAGATCATGTGACACTTAAGAAAATTCAGCTAAAATTCAGCTTTGCCACCACATATTATAATAAATTACATTTTAACATGTATTCAACATAAAACAGTTATTTATAATATTTCACAATAGTACTGTTTTTACTATATTTTTGATCAAATGCAGCCTTGGTGAGCAGAAGAGACTTAGTTTTTCTCCTAAGAGAATATAACTTTTGAACAGCAGTGCACTTAAAATAAACTATTCATAAACTATTTTGAATATTTAACTTTTAGGCTTTCCAATCTAGAACAACTTTGATATACAAGACTCAATTAGATACTTTTTTTTTAGATACATCACTAATTAAAAACCCATGACACAAAATTTGTAATTCCAGGTTTCTCATAAGAAATAATCCTCGGCTTACACTGTAAAACGTTTTAAAATGAAGAGATTTTATTCATAATTCACTTCTTTTGCAAGATTTTTGCCGTAACAGGTCTAACTTCACAAAATTTCTCTTTATGGTACTCTTAATAATACCGTTATCATAAATATATGAAGCATTATAGTTAAGCGCAAAAAGTGTTGTGGTATAAAAATAAATTATGACGGCAACAAAATGACGAGACAAATTAGTTGCCATGTGTTTGTCATATATATATTTTCATGACATGATCAACCGTTTCACAAGGAAAGCAAAACGTTTTTACGGCTTGTAGGTGCCTTTCCCTTCTTTTATCATTTATGCATCATATTCATTGCTCATACTTTGGTCAGTATTTAAAAGAAAGGAAAAAGTCTTTTCTTCAGGATGTACAAGACTGTGGCCAGGAAGAGCGCGAGAGCGAGGAAAATAAGCAGCTTGTCTGTCAGTTCCCGTCGATTGTATTTAATGATCAGCTTTCTGCCCAGCTGTATCGTTCCTGTCATGGCTTTAAACTCTTCATTAGTTTCCTGCACTGTCCTGGAAGACATCGCTACAGGAGTTAAACGAACAATACAGCATTAGTTTCCCAGCGTGCAGACATGGATAAAATGGAAAACCTGCGGGATGCCCACCTAATGTGCTCATGGTCTCCTCGCTCTGCTGAACCTGCTGTGCCATCATCCGGCCGATACTCATCAGACTCTCTGTTATGCCACTGGAGGTCTGAGCGAGGCTTTCTTTGGTCATCTTTCTGAGAGAATGAACTCAGGCGATCTGAAGTAGCATTAAAAACATCATTCAGTGAAGAAATGCTGCTTTCAAACTCACCTGTGTCTTATCGACATGTCCTCTGAATTTAACAAATCTTCCTTCTCCAGCTTATCAATGGAGAGTTTACAGGCGAGATTGGCCTTCCTCCAAGCTGTCTGATTACTGCAAGAAAAACACTCTTCATTTAAGACCAAATACACTGCACTCCTTCTACTTGAAGGACAACTAGATGAGCCCCAGATACAAATCCCCAGTAAAGACCTTGTCTCAGACGACCACCGGGACAAGACCAACAGGAACCAGATGATTCCTCTGCACAATGTGACTTTGCTGCAGCCTGAAATTGAACTGCTGGTTTCGTCTGGCCAGAGGAGAACTGTCCCCCCCTGACTGAGCCTGGTTTCTCCCAAGGTTTTTTCTCCATTCTGTCACCGATGGAGTTTTGGTTCCTTGCCGCTGTC